AATAATGGGATATTTAGAAGGAAAGGTAATCTGGTGTGGGGATTTCAATGCTCATAGTACACTCTGGGGTAAAAGTAATGATAAAAATGGTCAAGAAATTGAAGAATTGATGGAATTAAAAAACCTAGTGTGTCTTAATGATGGAAGAGGAACCAGAATCAACGTTAGAACAGGAGAAGAATCAGCAATTGATTTAACACTAGTATCAAACTCACTGGCTGGCAGTTGTGAATGGGATATTGATAAGAATACAACAAATGGAAGCGATCATTACCCAATTAAGATTAAAATACAAATAAAACCAGAAAGCAGCAAAGTAGAGGGGAATAAAAAAATGGAATTTCAGCAAAGCAGAACGGAATAAATTTAATTATATCAGTGAACAAGAATTACAAAAAATTGACATGACAGCAGATGTAAATAATATAAATTCAAATATTTGTAGGGTTATTCTAGAGGCAATAGAACATTCAGTGAAGGAAAGAAAGAAAAATAGTACCGTGGTGGACAAACGAATGTAATAAAGCAATCAAGTCAAGAAATAAAGCCTTTAAAATACTTAAAAAGAATCCTATTTATCAACATTTAATAGATTATAAAAGAGAACAAGCGATGGTAAGGAGGATAATAAAGGAGGCAAAAAGAAACTACTGGAGAAAATTCTGTGACACTATTGGGAAAGAGACTAAACTTGATAAAATCTGTAAAGTGATTAAAAGAATGAATGGCATCAGGAAAGAATATGTATACCCAGTGTTGAACACAGATAAAGGAGCGATGATTAAAGATAAAGCTGAAATGTTAGCTGAAACCTTTAGAAAGACTTGTAGTACAAATAACATCAGTGAGGAGGAAAAGAAAGGGAGGGAATCCACAAAACTAAAGTATAAATATTTACAACAGAGTAGTGAAGTAAATGATCATTTATTGAACGCACCATTTAAAAAAGATGAACTAAACAGAGCTCTGAGAAAAACCAAGACAACAGCACCAGGAAAAGATCAGATCTGGTATTTAATGATAGATCATCTCAGTGAACCAGGCAAAGAAATCATTTTAGAGCTGTACAATAAAGTTTGGGAGGAGGGGGAACTGCCACAGAGCTGGAAGGAGTCAGTCATCATACCCATAACAAAACCAGGAAAAGACAACACTGAACCGGAAAATTACAGACCAATCGCGCTAACATCAAACATATGTAAGATAATGGAAAAAATGATTAATGAGAGATTAACATACTATTTAAATAGTAAAGGATATATATCTAAATATCAAAGTGGGTTTCGAAAAGGGCGTAATACATATGATTCAGCTTTACGGTTAGAACATGAAATCAGAAAAGCGCAGATAAATAAAGATAGTGTGGTGGCAGTGTTCTTTGATATTGAAAAAGCATATGATATGTTGTGGGTTGAAGGGTTGTTCATTAAAATAAAGAAATTAGGTATTACAGGGAAAATGTTTAAATGGATCAAAAACTTTTTATCAAAAAGAACAATACAAGTTAGAATAGGAGAAGACTATTCTGAGAAATATGGGGTAGAAAATGGAACACCACAAGGCAGCATCATAAGTCCCTTATTGTTTTCTTTAATGATAAATGATGTTTTTGTAGAAATAGAGGAGGGAATGGGCTGTTCACTCTTTGCAGACGACGGGGCAATTTGGAAAAAAGGAAGAAATATAGAAGTCACAGTAGGAAAAATACAGAAGGCTATTAATGAAATAGAAAGATGGGCAATAAAGTGGGGGTTTAAATTTTCAGTGACAAAAAAAAGGCAATGATATTTACACGGAAAAGAATTACAGAAGTCAAAAAACTGAAACTATACAATCAAGAAATAGAACAAGTTAAGAGTATAAAGTTTTTGGGAATGTGGTTTGATGAAAAGTAATATGGAATATTCACATTCAGAAAATTATTGATAAATGTAAAAGGGTCTTAAATATTATGAGATGTTTGGCGGGAAATGAATGGGGAGCAGACAGAACAGCATTAAAGAGAATATACACTGGGCTGATCAGGTCAACTATAGACTATGGCAGTGTAATCTATAGATCTGCAGCAAAAACCCATCTGGAGAAACTTGACAATATACAACATCAAGCACTAAGAATCTGTACAGGAGCATTCAGGACCACCCCAACCGCAGCACTTAAAGTAGAGATGGGAGAGATGCCTTTAGAAATGAGAAGAACACAGCTAGCAATACATTACTGGATCAACTTACAAGGAAATAACCCGGATCATCCAACATTAGACATTTTAAAACCATGCTGGGAAAAAGCAAAGAGAGAAACAAGAAGCTTTGGTTGGATAATCGATCAGAAGATACAAGAAGTTCAAATAAGAAACCTAACAATAAGTCCAATAATACCGTTACCAACAATACCACCATGGATACTACCAACTGCAAAAGTAGATTTTACACTTATGGAAAAGAAAAAAGATAAAAAAATCACTTTTAACTCATATACAGTACAGAAATATATAAATAATTATTATGGTTACGTTCAGATTTACACAAACGCATCAAAAGACACAACAGGGAAAATAGGAATAGCAATTATCATACCAGAGTTCCATAAGAAACAAGTTAAACGGATTACAAATGGATTGTCAGTATACACCGGGGAAATGTTAGCAGTATTATTAGCAGTACAATGGATAGAAGATGTCAGACCATTAAAAACAATAGTATGTTCAGATTCAAGTTCATCACTTACAAGTTTACAGCACAGCAACTCAGACAGCAGACCAGACATTTTATTAGAAATCCAGCAAACATTATTCAGAATAATGATGATGGGTTTGGAAGTCGTATTTCTGTGGGTACCAGCACACACTGGGGTTGAAGGAAATGAATGAGCAGACAGGGAAGCAAAAAGAGCAACAAAACAACAAGTTAACTTTATAATAACTACAAGCAAATCAGAAGCAAGAAGCATGGTTAAAGAAAAACTGAAGGAAAAGTGTCAGAAAGAATGGAATGAAGAAACCAAAGGAAGATGGTATTATAAGATCCAAAGAAGAGTGGGAGAGATGAGAACAGGAGGGAGAAACAGAAGAGAAGAGAGATTAGGAACAAGACTGAGATTTGGACACACTGGACTGAACAACACATTATTCACACTACATAAACACGAAACAGGAAATTGTCAGTATTGTGGAGAGACAGAAACAATAGAGCATGTGATTTTAAGTTGTCAGAGATATGAGAGAGAAAGAAGACACATGATGGAGGAACCTAGAAAGATTAAAGAAACATTAAATATCACAAACATACTACAGAAAGAGTCAGGAAGTAAAAGTGTAAAAATTTTGATAAGGTTCTTCATTAAAACAAAGCTGATCAATAGGATATGATTAGGACAGACAACACATACACAAGTAAATAGAATTTATTTATTTTATTTTTTAAAAAAGCATTCTGACCCACACTCCATACCAGTAGGTGGCGGTAATGCACACCATAAGTTGTTTGCCAACCGCCAATAAAACTGAAGAAGAAGAAGAAGAAGGGTGATTGCCACAGCTTGGAGCTGTTTCTGTCGCACAGAGGTTGGACTCGAGAAGACGACGTGTGTTGAGGAGGCGGCTGGCTTGAGGTGGATTGGAGATGGCAGAAGGAAGTGACGGGTCAGAAAGCGAACTGGGCGGTATGGAAATATGTGGCGGGAGATTTGAAGAGTGGGATATTGTTCAGAAAAGAAGCGGAAGAAGAATTTAAATAGTAAATCAGATGATAGCGATAATGTCAGAGAAGAGTTGTCAAAGAGACCAAGAGAAGAATATAAAGTTACACTCAAACTAACACAAGATGGGGCTACATTTGGCAGCTGGAACCCAATACATCTTACAATAATTACTAATTATTGTCAAATTTCAAACAACATTATTGTTTATCACAATCATTTTCAAGACAATTGCCCAGCAAAATTTGTTATTGTGACAGGCCTAGCAGCAACAGGTGTGGAAATGGGATTTCATCTGCCTACAGCATCCTTGTTTCCTTTATTGACCACAAGAGGAGGAAAATACTTGTGACAAAAACAAATCAGTGTGTCCCAGTGTGTGTTTGTGTTAACGGCAGCTGTGATGTTCCTCTTTTGTAGGTGATGATCCTGTACTTTAACCCCGGAGTGTTCCTGTGCATCCTGCTTAGGTGGGTTCGCCTCCTGGGATTCGCCACCGTGTATGGGACCCTCATCCTCAAGCTGTACAGGTACAGCTACAATAAAAAGTCAACAGTTAGTATAATTTTTGTACAATAACTTTTTTTCATGAACGAACCATATACTGAAAGCCAAAAGTAAAAATAAGAGAACCTCTTCCATCCTACATCTCATCTCCTCCTCTTTCTCTCTTCTTTTCACAAGTTACCTTTTTCAATTTCAATAATTCAGCCCAGTCTGTCTCACTCGTAAGCAGATCCACATAAGGTCTGATCTATCTGCATCTGCAGCTCGTGTCTTTACACACACAAATCTATACACACACGCACACACAGACACAATTTCCAACATTCTAATCTGCAGCTCAGAGCAAAAAGGGAGAAGGAGGTGAAAGATTGGTCAGCGTGTTCTCTTGGCAGAGTATCTAATCTGGTTTTTTTTGGTCATTCTTTTGTGTGAGCTCAATAGGTGGAGTGTGTCTCCAGGCTGAGCTCATGCTTCATCACACAAAATGTCAGAAATTAAACATGTATTTTTTTTTCATTGTCCAGTCTCACCACGACTTGCTTCAACTCTACTCAAGTCTGTATGGTCTTAATGGTTTTCCAATATAACTTTTGTGCAGCTTCAGTATGGATGAGCTTGTCATAGCACAGACACCCAGAACATCTGTCCCAGACAAGCTCAACATGGACAACTAAGTGAAATAACGTCACAGAGCACTCACCATCCTCTACCATCCATTATTATTTTGTTTAAGAAAGCCAGGACTCGGAAGAGAATCGGCACAATGATCAAAAATACTCAAACACTGTTCTGCTAGAATAATTGTGTCATTTTATTATTCCGCCACAGATACAGCAAAAGCATAGTACAATCACACTCAGATGTAAAATCTCACAAGTATTGATGTAAAAAAAACTCTCACCGTGACACGTAGGCTGGAGAGCCGCACAGCCGCAAGCAGAGCAAACACCAACACAAAAACTGGACGTCCCGATCGGTAGATCCACAGTAGACTCTAACTCTTTACTGAGCGCTCTCTTATTTTATACCACCCTCTACATCGCGTGAGTGTCTCCCAGTGAACAAAACATGTTTACCTGAAATGCATGTTTACTAAAAACTGAAAAACTTAAAAAGATGTGAGAAACTTCGAGATAGCGTGCAAGGGGGCGGACCAAGCCCTCCTTCCAGGCCTCCCGGGTGACTCACAAGAACATCTACCAAAAACATTTTATATCACAGGTTAAACTGTCAGGAAAACAACACTTTATTAAATTCTTTATTCATTCCACCCTTTGGTTTTTCTGACTAGTTATTTCACAGGTTAAACAGTCAGGAAAACAAAACTTTATTAAATTCTTTATTCATTCCACCCTTTGGTTTTCCTGACTAGTTTTGAAAATGTTCTCCACTGATTTCATATGGCACTCGCCAGTCAGTCCCTGCTCATTGTTGTACAGCCCTGCAGACAAAACTCAGAAAACTGATACGATCGTCATTATGAGTAAATCGATGATATATTCTGTTACCACTTACCCAATAATCAATGATCAATGTGTCAGGGTGGACAATAGAATCAATTTCAATAGTACTCAATTCCCTACCATACCAATGATCTGTCATGATTACTTCAATTTTCATTGTAAAGCTGTATTATAAATCAATTTAGTTATTCTGTTCTTTACCTTTCTAATGTAAAAATACGTACACAAATTACACATAGTATAGCTTAACAGAATAAGCAAAGGAGGGATTGCATATTGTCGCGCCGTTGATGACATTCCTGTAAATATGTCCCACCAGTGGTGGGCCGACGCTTGCTCTATTAGCTTAGCTGCATGTAAAACCTTTCCCTATGCAATATAGGTGGACACTGTTAAATCAGACACATTAGACTTATGAGACTTAACCATTTGTTTCAGCTCCGTAGACTCATTTAATGCGCATTTGAAATGGTCCATGGATACCCGCCAGGGGACTTTCAAAGATTGCCACTGTACCTCAGTTAGGCAAGTAGATGAACCGTAATTGGTTAATTGATAAGTCAAGTTGTTCCAACTCCACAAATGTACACCATATACAGGTCCTTCTCAAAAAATTAGCATATTGTGATAAAGGTCATTATTTTCTATAATATAATGATAAAAATGAAACTTTCATATATTTCAGATTCATTGCACACCAACTGAAATATTTCAGGTCTTTAATTGTTTTAATACTGATGATTATGGCATACAGCTCATGAAAACCCAAAATGCCTGTCCCAAAAAATTAGCATATTTCATCCCACCAATGAAAGACAAGTGTTTTTAATACAAAAAACGCCAACCTTCAAATAATCATGTTCAGTTATGCACTCAATACTTGGTCGGGAATCCTTTTGCATGAATGACTGCTTCAATGCGGCGTGGCATGGAGGCAATCAGCCTGTGGCACTGCTGAGGTGTTATGGAAGCCCAGGATGCTTCGATAGCGGCCTTAAGCTCATCCTGAGTGTTGGGTCTTGCGTCTCTCAACTTTCTCTTCACAATATCCCACAGGTTCTCTATGGGGTTCAGGTCAGGAGAGTTGGCAGGCCAATTGAGCACAGTAATACCATGGTCAGTAAACCATTTACCAGTGGTTTTGGCACTGTGAGCTGGTGCCAGGTTGTGCTGAAAAATGAAATCTTCATCTCCATAAAGCTTTTCAGCAGATGGAAGCATGAAGTGCTCCAAAATCTCCTGATAGCTAGCTGCATTGACCCTGCGCTTGATAAAACACAGTGGACCAACACCAGCAGATGACATGACACCCCAGTGACTGTGGAAACTTGACTCTGGACCTCAAGCAATGTGAATTCTGTGTCTCCTCTCTTCCTCCAGACTCTGGGACCTTGATTTCCAAAGGAAATGCAAAATTTACTGTAATCAGAGAACAAAACTTTGGCCACTCAACAGCAGTCCCAGGCAAGATGCTTCTGACGCAGTCTCTTGTTCAAGAGTGGCTTGACCTGGGGAATGCGGCACCTGTAGCCCATTTCCTGCACACGCCTGTGCACGGTGGCTCTGGATGTTTCTACTCCAGACTCAGTCCACTGCTTCCGCAGGTCCCCCAAGGTCTGGAATCGGCCCTTCTCCACAATCCTCCTCAGGGTCCGGTCACCTCTTCTCGTTGTGCAGCGTTTTCTGCCACACTTTTCCCTTCCCACAGACTTCCCACTGAGGTGCCTTGATACAGCATTCTGGGAACAGCCTATTTGTTCAGCAATTTCTTTCTGTGTCTTACCCTCTTGCTTGAGGGTGTCAATGATGGCCTTCTGGACAGCAGTCAGGTCGGCAGTCTTACCCATGATTGCGGTTTTGAGTAATGAACAAGGCTGGGAGTTTTTAAAAGCCTCAGGAATCTTTTGCAGGTGTTTAGAGTTACGTCGTTCATTCAGATGGTTAGGTTAATAGCTTGTTTAGAGAACATTTTCATGATATGCTAATTTTTTGGGACAGGCATTTTGGGTTTTCATGAGCTGTATGCCATAAACATCAGTATAAAAACAATTAAAGACCTGAAATATTTCAGTTGGTGTGCAATGAATCTGAAATATATGAAAGTTTCATTTTTATCATTACATTATGGAAAATAATGACCTTTATCACAATATGCTAATTTTTTGAGAAGGACCTGTACACATCCAGAAAAAGGCACCTTAGGTAATTGAGGATGACTCTTAATTGTTGCTACGCACAGAGTGTGTGGGCCTATTTGCCATAGCATATCTCTAGCTGGTTCATGAGTCCAATCACACAATACCCCGTCTCTGGTTAAACATGGGTTAACATGACTGGTTTGCAACATACATACCACTCCTTTATCAGCCATCTCGCATAGTTACATGTCATAGGTGAGATTTGTCTGTGGCTCAAACCATTCACCCTGTACTTTTAAAAACCAATATCCTTGTATAGTTATTACAGGTAAAACATGATACTTGCATACTGACGTTGTGTCATTAACCAGATACTGAACCCAATGTCCTTCACACATATGTTCATTACATTTTGTCAATTCAGATTTTAAGACCACCCAATGTGTACTTGAAATGTTCCACAGCTTCCATCACTCGTGATGACTTGATGTTGTCACTATTCTCTAGAAGCGTTCCTTCTGCAGTCGTGCATGTAGGGTTTGTAGGGTACACGTGGTCCAATTCAGTGCTTGGGTTATGTTCTAGAGTATTTCTTCTGTGTTGTCCCACATCTTTAATTGCCATTTTATCTCATTCAGTAGTATTTTGGCAGTTTCCTCTTGAGTCATAACCACTGAAGGCATCCAGACTCCAACTTGATGAACTGCTAACGAGGCATGTTTCCCTGTGTTTGATAACATAGTTCTGGTCACTTGTTGGTCGATAGAATTAGACAAACCCAGTACAGTACCTGTTCCTCCCAACATGGTGTCACACCACACTCTTTTGGCTCTTGAACACCTTGGTAATGGTGGGAAGTACACCTGCCAGTGTACATCAGTTGTCAACAGGGACTTTGCCATCTTTTGACAGGACTCTGACTGCTCCAGCTCACAGAGGAGGCTGTCTTGTTGGGTCAGAGTTTGGACCACCGGGTGGGTCTCTTTGGTTTCACATGATTTCAAAGGAATACTCACCAGGCTCGTGTCCTTGGCTGAGGAGTCCTTTATGCCCTCCGCGGTACCTGCTGTTAGGCAGTCTGTGTTACACTCCGGAGGCATTTGTATTGGCAGTGGTTTGCTCACCTTTGCCCACATCGTTTGATCACCATAATCTATAATCGCGTCGAAGCGATTTATAAAATCCTGGCCAACCAAAAATGGGAATGAGTCAACACTGGACACGTGTTGGTGGTATAGTGTCATTCTGCCAATCTGCATGTGAACCATTGCTATAGCTGTCAGGGTTGTCCTCTTCTCTGAGAGACCCTGCATTTCTACAGCACATTCTGTGAGAGGTATTACCCTGTTAACACTGCTAGCGGCTGTCCTCAGCTCCTCGAACAGTTTAGCTGACATAATTGTTATGTCCGCCCCACCGTCC